AGAGAGGGCAGAAGCTTAAAGCATTCTTCCTGCTCTTTCAGAGCATCCACACAGCAGCTCACAAACATCTGTAACTTCTGTTCCAAAGATACCTTCTTCTGGCCTGTGCAAGTAAATGGCACACAGACAGACATACATACACATAGGCCAAACACCCACACACATAAAAATAAACATTCTTTAAATGAGGTAAAGAGTAACGAAGAGGCTGCTTAATATTGACCTCTGGTCTTAACAAACATGCACAAATACACAAAACCACAAAAGTGGGCAGTACCTGAGGAAGCATACCTGAGGTGGTCTTCTGACCCTCATATGCATGTGTGTGAATACATGTGCACGAACACACATGAACATGCACATCTACACATACATATCCAAAACAGTGTTTCAATTTATCCACTGATTTACTTATTTTATATTTTTGAAAGTCTACAAAAATATAAATGGTTCCAATTCTTTTGACATTTGATCCCTAAGTATCTGAGTTTATATATTATTAATTGAAAATATTTTTAAAATGCAGGATTTTTGCTTGTCATTATTTTAAAAAAATGTCATTCTTCTAGCTTACAGGCCATTTCCTACAATCTTTCTCAGATAAAAAAGAGAGGTCTAAACAAAGATTTCTGTTACAGTACTGCACATTTAATTACCAACTACTTTCTACAGGCCAAAGTCTGCATCATTTTCTTTGAAATAGAAACCGTGTAGGCCTCTGAAGTTTCTTGTCCAGAGTGGAATTGCTCTCATGGCACTTGTTTTGAGGCCAGGTGTCACCATTAAAAGAGATGATGATACATTTCCATCAGACTCTAATGAGTTCCTGATCTTTCTAAGCATACATCAAAACAACTAGATTTTCTATAAGGTAGAGTGATCCACACAGTTCCAAAAAAAGTTTGTATATGTGATACTTTCAAACCACTCAGCTGTTCAGTTCAATAATCTGTCACTAAAGATATGAAACTCAGCTTAAGACTCTGAAGGGTAAGTAAAGAGGTTAAAATATAAATAATTATGTATATATGGAGCTGGTGGGATAGTTCAGATAGCAAAAATACCTGCTGCCAAGTATCATGACCTGAATTAAATCCCCAAAACACACGTGGTAGAGGTTTGAAACTAACATCCACAAGTTGTCCTATGACCGTCATATCATACATGCTCCTAATCATACAAAAATAAATACATGTAAAGAATTTCTTAAAAGTTAAATATAGCCTATTACAAGGAGAGCAAGAGAAGAGATACCATAATAGGGGGAACCATTATAGGCTTAAATGGAAATCTGGAACTAGGGAAATGTCCAGAGATCCACAAGGATGACACCAACTAACAATCTAAGCAATAGTGGAGAGGCTACCTTAAATGCCCTTTCCCAATAATGAGATTGATGACTACCTTATATGACATCCTAGAGCCTTCATCCAGTAGCTGATGAAGTAGAAGCAGACACCCACAGTTAAACACTGAGCTGAACTCCTAGAATCCAGTTGCAGAGAGGGAGGAGTAATGAGCAAAGGGGTCAAGACCAGGACTGGTAAAACCTACAGAAACAGCTGACCTGAACAAGGGGGGAGCTCATGGACCCCAGACTGATAGCTGGAAAACCAGCATAGGACCAACCCAGACCTCCTGATAGTGGGTGTCAATTAGGAGGCCTGGGCAATCTATGGGGCCTCTGGCAGTGGATCAGTATTTAGCCCATAAGAATGGGTTATGAATGGACTTTGGGAGCCCATTCCACCTAGAGGATACTCTCTCAGCCTAGATACATGGGGGAGGGTCTAGGCCCTGCTCCAAATGATATGACAGATGTTGAAGATCCCCCATGGAAGGCCTCACCCTCCCTGGAGAGCAGAAAGGGAATGGGATGGGGGTTAGTAGGGGAGGAGAGGAGGGATAGGGAACTGGGATTGACATGTAAAACAGGCTTGTTTCCAATTTAAATGAAAAAAAAAAATCTGGAAAAAAAAAAGAAAATAGAACTAAGACTACTAGACTTTTCCAGAATGTTTTTAGTGATTTAAAAATGCCATTTTCAAAACTTCAAACAATACGGTGGTCTAGTGCTTTTTTTTAAAGTGTTAACATGTATTAAATATTAGTTCATTTATAAAAACAAAAAAAACTAGCCTATTAGACACAATAGAAAAGAAACTGTTTTTTACAAATAGTATAACCCTATTTCAAAGACAGGAAGATATAAGATAAATATTGAAAACTTTAATGCAAAAGTTGCCAAAGGACAGCAGTACAATCCAAAAGGAAATAAAATCAAATTATGAAAGACTCTCATATTAATAGAACACTATTATTAGGTGACACTATAATGCTGTGATGTATTTTTAAGTAATATGCCTATTATATTTCTGAATTTATACATAAGTACATTTGTACAAACCACTTACTTTTTCAGTTGAGGATCAGCTGTTACCTAAGACTTTCATGCAAGCTTCCATTAGTTAAAATAGCAAGTAACAGGTGGCTAGAATTTTGTACATTCATCCTCTAAGACACATATTTTCCCACCCTTGAAGACAAGGTAAAGATAATAATGAGTTCTAATTTTATTTGTGCTTTACACCTATAATCTTTTAAGACCAAGAACCAAAAAAAAAATACATTACTTGAAAATTGCTACTCTAAGTATTTAAATATATAATTGGAACTACTTTTTATCTGTTCTGATGACAAAGTGAATAGTAAATTCATCAGAAAACCAGCTAAAACAAAGAATAAAATATTCTAAAATACTGCTTTGATAACTATTGCAAAATAAATCATATAATTACTACTAACCCCCAGAATGCCTAATTAGTAGAGGACTGTATTCCTTGAGTGTGCAGGCACAGAGGTAGGAATAAAATTCCATTTGCTTATTCATTAATGAAATGGAATTAAGTCACTTAGATGTTCATTTAATGCCACTGTTTACTCAGCAGGTTGTCACTGTCAAAATCACAAGAGTACACAGACACACCTTCAGCACCCAGGGAGCTCATAAGTAATATACCTATTATATATTATATAAATAGCTAATAGTAACAGGTTACAAAACAGATAAATGAAGGGAACTATTCAAAATCCTACAGACACACAGAAGTGAGATCTGAAAGACCACAAATATTCTACAGAAGTAGGATACCTCCAGACTAGCAGTAAAAATGGGGACACTGCTTCAAGCAGAGATCTCGAACTCTCTAAGAAATTTGGAACCATTCTATACTGTTTTTGGGAGGATCAGAGAGTACTTATCTCAGGAATTGGCAGATAACATACAATCATTAAATGTATCTTGTTTGAAGTATAAACTGTATATTTTGTAAACCATATTTCAAGTAAGGGGTCACATATTTAAGTTTTAGTCCACGGAGGTAGAATATGTCCTTAGTTATGTGCATTTCAAGTTAGTTGGAAAGAAGTTGTAGGTGGCTGGTAGTAAAGTCAGAGACAGGAGGGCAGGCGCTGGGAGGAATACTCAGCCAGTCAAGTGGCCGCAGTGTGAGCATGAGAATCTGCACTCCATCCCAAGAACACAGGCTGGGAGTAGTGGGAGGTAAAGTACGTCATTATTTACGTATAGAGTGGTAAATCAGGAAGACAGAAGAATTATAAACATATGCTCCAAATGCTGATATACCCAATCTCATAAACACTGTTACACATTCAGGAACAATAAAATACTAAATACTATTACTGAAGCCACAACAGCCATATAGGGACTCTATCAGGTACCTACTATAGGTATCTGCCTTCACGTGGGTTATTACTTTACCATCTGATCTCCTTAATTCGCAATAGCAGCAGCTTCTCAGTGTGTATGTGGGGGGTGTTAACCCATCAGACTCCTACTACTATGTCATTGAACTCTGTTTACCTGCTGTTCTGGCTAACTTTATGTCAACAGAAGGGAGCTGGAGTCATTTGAGAAGAGGGAGCCTCAGAAGAAAAATATGCCTGAGTTGCCTGTAGGCAAGTCTGTCGTGTATTCTTAATTATTGATAGATGTGGAAGAGCCCAGCCTACTATGGGCACCCCCTATGCAGATAGTCCCAGGATTCTACAAGAAAGCAGGCTGAGCAAGCCAGGGGGAAGTAAGTCAGTAAGCAGCACCCTCCATGGCCTCTGCATCAGGTCCTGTCCCCAGGTCCTTTTGCCCTGTTTGGGTTCCTGGCCTGACTTTCCTCATTGATGGACTGTGGCATGAACTGTTTGCCATTGATTTTGGTGTTTTTTCACAGCAATAGAAACCTAACTAAGACACCTAGATAGTCTTTATTATTCTCACATACACAAGGGGCAGGGAGCTACAAAAATTAAATGTTATGGTATCTGTGCTAGGTAGATCTAAAACCTAAAGTCACATTTTCAAAATAGGTCCCAAGATTACAGTTTTTATTTAGTAAAATTGTTCCTCCATTCACAGCTCCCATCTTTACTTCTTCCTTTTAATAAAGAGTCAAAAGCAAATATACAGAGACCTAAGAGAAAAGCATATAAAACAAATGCTATGCACAGCAATGGCAGAACCTTTCATGTTACCACAGGCCAAGACAGGGAAATCTGACTGTGGAGTGCTACCGTATCTATCTCATGCAAATATTCTATTAACTTTTTATACCCTTAAATAGAAAACTATTTTCTAACTGAGACATGTTTGTGCTCTCTCATTCACCTCCAAAGTTGGGTTTTTTTCACAGTCATATAGCAAAACAGATATGTTGCATGCTATGTCAGTCACATGATTTATTAGCTTTTACTACATAAATATCTCTGAATCATTCCTAAGTTATTACTTCAGAGATCTCAACATTAACATGAGCCAACCCTTGCACAGTTATATTTTAGTCAATTCACAAGGCTAGGAACTAATACTTGATGAAGTAGTTTTGAAATCCCATGTATAGTCAGCATGTACAGCTCACCTAAAACTACACTGGTTTTACCTGTGTTTTACCCAGCAGCATTGCTAGTAGCTACATAAAATCGCAGACCTGTTTCTCAGCACTGGTCCTGGCTGATTCCTCTTGTGCCAGCACCATTTCACGCTCTGCAGTTATCTGTACACTTTCTCTCAGTGCTTCTTCCAGCTCTTCAATCCTGTCATCCTTCTTACGAAGACTGTCCTGGAAAACGATGAAGACTCGATGAAGAAGGTTAATCAGAATTCAGAAAGTGCCTACTCATTAAGGAGGGGCCATTTAAGTATTAAACATCCTTCTCTTCAGAAGCAAATTGAGGCCAGAAAGATACCTCCATAGAGCAAAGAATTGAACAAGGGAAGAAGGAAGCTGAAGTCTATTACTAAGAGCATAGGATCAAGTTAGTGAAGCAAGACAGACATGATAGATTTGCTGTCTACAACAAAGAGAAGAAAGCTACTGGTGTAAGAAGCTATAAGCAGTAAGAGGTTAGCTATTTAAAATCATAAAACTTTTTAAAAACTACTGCTTAAACTAAACTGAAAGCCAGCTCTGATGGAGTTTTGCTTAAGAGTCAGTTCCATAGCACTCTCTCCCTTTGGGAAGTCACACCTGCACGACAGACTCAATTACACAGACAATGTCTGAAAAACCTTTTCTTAAAAATGAGGATGCTTACTAACATTTCAAGAAAGTGAATCTCTTCTTATGAAAAATGAAAAACAACTGTGTGTGTGTGTGTGTGTGTGTATGAGAGAGAGAGAGAGACTAGCTTGAATATGAATGAATAATTTAGTTAAGCAAATAATATACTCTAGGACTTTAAAATATAACTTCCCATCTATATGACCAGTCTTTAGGATCACAAAGACAGTAGAAGAGTAGGAAAGATGAAAGAAAAAGCCAAGAAGAATGGAACCATGGATCCCTTAGACTATTCTCAACCCCTTTTTTAAAAGGCCAGTGGATTCAGAACACAGTATTGACTTGTATTAAAATATGAAAATGAGTATCAAAATTTGCCAGGATGCTGATACGAAGAATAAACGCTTCAAGCTCTTATCTCTTAGAATATGTCAACACAAAACTGACTAAAGAACTGAAGCTAAAACCAGGTGTGGTAACTCCCATCTAAACAGTACTCACAAACCTGAGGCAGGCTGGTCTCCATGAGTTCAAGGCCATCTCAAACTACACTGTAAGATGTCACACAAAAAAGATGAGGGAAGAGGAAAAAAAGAACAAAACTAAACTAAAAAACTACTTGGGGGAGGGGCTAAGAAACTACTGGTGGCAACTTCAAGATATTGAGTTGAAGAAAGGTTTTTTTGCTTTTTAATAAAACACTAAAAGCTCTGGCAACAGAAGCAAAATCAGACAGGCAGGATTACCTCAAACAATAACAATTTCTGCATTACAGCAAATAATCAAAAGAGCAAAGTAACTCTTGCAGAAGAGAAAATTTTGAACTATAATCTGACAAGGGCTAATATCCAAAAATACATATAAACCAAACAGTTATCCAGTTCATTAAAAGGGCAAAAGAGATGTGTATATATATTAAAAGAAAACATAAAAATGGTACACAATTTTGAAAACAAAATTCTCAACATTATTAATCACTGGGGAAATATAATTAGAAACCACAAAGAGCTATCTCGATCCTTTTAGATTACTATAGAAAAGAGAAGACATGAACACTCATGAGGATGTAGACAGGGACATGGTCTCACACATATGGCTAACAGATGGAGGTACCTCATAATATTAAAATCTGAACTACTACATGACTCAGCAACTCCACTCTCATGTTTTTAAATGAAAGAGACTGAAGACCAGCTGGGACATCTAACCTTATGGACTGAACAACTCTGGACTCAAGAGACACTACTGATAGACTAGCCAGACCACAGCTTTGCTTGTAAAGCACTCTAATAAATCCCATATGTCTGTTATGTCCAATTATAACCTGTGACAGAGGTCACACATCATCTCTTCTACCTTCCTCTACTATTCACATAGCCCACCCATGGTCCAAACCCTGACAGATACAAGCACCTGTACGGGGAAGTTCACAATCACCTGTATGTAACTCATGCTTCAGGAAAACCCACTTCCTCTTCTGACCTCTGAGATTATCCCCACATGCACTGTATCAGACCACTCAGCCAGGATGCCCCTCATCTCAGCATCTTGGCAGCCCATGTTCATCAGGACTCCAGGGAGTTATATCCTGGAGAACCCACCAGTCAAGTCAATTGTGATGTGTGAGGTCTGTCTCCTACTCTGTCTCCTGCTCTAGACTGCGTTCTCTTTCCATATTGGTCTTCTATTATCTACTCTCCTTCCTATTACTATACTACAGAAATTATTAGAATGTTGTCTCCATGAAAGGAAGAATTTGCTCCGTCTTCTATTCTGTTCCTGTGTCTGCCACCCAATATTACACACATTGACATAAATATCTGTAAACTAAACACTTTCTTCATCACAACTCATCTTCTTCCAGTCATTCCTTTTACCCCAATGCTATCAAAATACAAAGCACATCATCTTATCCTTTCACTTTAAACCTGCTTTAGTAGTCACTAAAATCCTTTCTGATCTGATTGATGCTTGCCCACTCTCCACCTTATTTACTGCTCTCTAAACACACACAGCTTTTGCCTATAAATGACCCTTACTTTAAACTCATTTCCTCTGATCTTTACGTGTCCCTTTCAGGCTCTACCTTAATGTCTGGGTACTCTTTCCTAGGGTTAACTTCCTAAATTTAGTGTCCAACATCATCCCTTGGGAAGTCAACTATCATAGTAGCCTGTTCATTTCTATTCACTGCTGCCCTTGCTTCCTCCCCTGCTGCCATAACAAAATGTCCAACAAATGCAGCGAGGAGGAGAAACAGCTCATCCTAGCTCATAGTTCAAGGTACAATATACCACAGCTAGGAAATCAAGGCAGCAGAAACCAAGCAGCTGCTCAAACTGCATCCACAGTCAAAAGAACAGCAATACATGAACTTCTCCATCTCATATCCCCTACCCAGAAAATGGCCTCTCCCACAATTAAATACATGTGCTAAGGAAATAGGTAAACAAACATTTTAAGTAAAACAAAAAAATAATTCTGAACTACTAAGGGTCATGAAGTAAAAGAAATTCCCCCAAATGAATACTTTCCACCCATCAGATTTACATTTTGAAAAGGAAGACCTGTAGGAAGAGGAGAAAATTGCAATCTGACGCTTTGGCAAGTGTGAAATTGATAAGGCACATTTTCAAAAGGTAGTATAGTAATTTTTTTCAATAATTAAAGTCCTTACATCTAGAATGAAGTTACTATGAATCTAGAACAGATTCAGACAGTAACTCCCATATCTCTGTAGTCACTGCTCTGTGGTTATGAACTGAAGTAACACTGTAGCAGACACTGCAGGAAAGATGACAGCAGCACTGCTGCCTTCAAGGGGCTGCAGATGGATCAGTGACTGCTTGACATACTCTGTAACCTTCTTTCAAAAGTATATGGCCACGAGAAACGGGGCCAGCCTACAGACATAGGAGACACAGCATTAAAGCCATTGCCGAACCAGTAAGAAAGCAGGGTGATACAGTATTTTAGTGCTTCTGCAATGAATTCCCCAGCTGCTTAGGCCTAACATAAACAACAGAAAGCTATTGTATTCATCACACTAGAGCTGCTACTATTGTGATTGGGCCTGGTTTAATTAATGTGAATAACTGGGATCTGGTTGCTCTTCCAGAGGAGCTGGATTTGATTCTCAGCACCCCCATGGCACCTCATACCCATCTGTAAGTTCAGTTGCATGATATCTGGTGCTCTCTTCTGACATCCACAGGCACCAGGTGCAAATGTGGTACAGTCTGCCATACAGGCAAAATACCCGCACACATAAAAACATATAAATAAATAAATAAATAAATAAATAAATAAATAAATAAATAAATGGGTCATGTACACCTTTAAAAAATAAAAAGAAGGAAAGAAAGGGCTGGAGAGATGACTCAGTGATTAAGAAAACTAGTAGTATTCGAGCATTGGTGACACACGCCTTTAATCCCAGCACTCGGGAGGCAGAGGCAGGCGGATCTCTGTGAGTTCGAGGCCAGCCTGGTCTACAGAGCTAGTTCCAGGACAACTTCCAAAACAATACAGAGAAACCCTGTCTCGAAAAACCAAAAAAAAAAAAAAAAAAAAAAAAAAAGAAGAAGAAGAAAAAGAAAACTGGCAGCACCTGGCAGTGGTGGTACGCCTTTAATTCCAGCACTCAGGAGACAGAGGAGGGCAGATCTCAGTGAATTTGAGGCCAGCCTGGTCTACAAAGTGAGTTCGAGGACAGCCAGGACTATTAATCAGTGAAAATCTGTCTTGAGGGCCGGGCGTTGGTGGCGCATGCCTTTAATCCCAGCACTTGGGAGGCAGAGGCAGGTGGATCTCTGTGAGTTCGAGGCCAGCCTGGTCTACAGAGCGAGTTCCAGGACAGCCTCCAAAGCCACAGAGAAACCTTGTCTCGAAAAACCAAAAAAAAAAAAAAAAATCTGTCTTGAGAGAAGGAAGAAGGAAGGAAGGGAGCAAGGGAGCGAGGGAGGGAGCAAAGAAAGACAGGAAGGAAGGAAGGAAGGAAGGAAGGAAGGAAGGAAGGAAGGAAGGAAGGAAGGAAGGAAGGAAGGAAGGAAGGAAGGAAATTAAAGAAAATTGGCAGCTCTTCCAAATGTCATTTTTCAATTCCCACCCACATGGTGGCTTACAGCTATATATAACTCCAGTATCAGGAGATTTGACACCCTCTGAGGGAACCAGACACACTAAAGTGGGGCACATATATGCAGGCAAAAGACCTATACACATAAAATGAACTATTATTATCTTATTGTCATATAATAATAATAACTTCAAAAGTAAAATACAAAGAGGGAGAAAAAAGAAGATGGATCCACACACACCAAAATTACCAACACTTTAATGAATGGGACTGGCAGACAGAACTGACAATTCTGAAGTTTTATTGTAACACACTCATTGAACTGACATTGAACTTACCAATAAAGTGTGATCAACTTGAAGCAAGATGACTCCTCCTATGCTGAGGTATCCTCACATAGCTGTGGAATAAAACTTGCCTTCCTATTTAAAAGCCATTCCTTTTTGTTTGTTTGTTTGCTAAATAGATAGTCTAAGAGGAAGACAGTAAGCAGGGTTAGAAAGAGAAGGAAGAAGAGGACACAGAGGAAGCGCCAACAGCAGACAGTCTTGGCATGCACTCCTACATACTGGGGCTCTGACCTGCAGTTGCTGGGAGCTGTCGCTGAGACTGTCCTCCCTTCTCCGGGCCTCCTCCAGCATCTGTGCACTCTTCTTCTTCTCCACCTGCTCCTTGTGCTTCAGATTTGCTACCTTCTTATTCTGGTCTTTCACTTGCCTGTTGATGGAGAAAGGGAGACAAAGCTTTCATGTGTGCACAGAAGGTAGACGTCTATTTATATGCCTTACCTGACAAAGAGTATCTGAATAGCAAATTCTTTTAAACAATTCCATTTTTCCCCTATATACCAATATAGGAAACAAACTATTACAATAATGCTGCAGTTTTCTAATAAAAATGTATTTTATTGCAAACAATGAAATTACAGAATAAAAGAAAGGCGCATGAAAAGATAAAATAACCAATGCAAGCCTCACACCTGAAACACAGAAGCGTTAAACCTCTTTTAATATAGTCTGTGGCCACTCCTGTTTCTACCACTATCATTGTTTAGGGCATCTTTTTCTTAAAGGCAGATCTCTTATACATTGTGCAAATGTATTCTCCCAAACTGTGAGCTACTTCTTTAGTTGCTTTATGTTACATTTGTATTTATAGAATTTAAAATTCATGCTTTCTGATTTCAAACTCTATTGAAAATTTACAGAAACAAAAATAATAAAATGTTCATAGTATATAAACAGAAATAGCCATCATTAGAACAGAATAGATGGCATACAAACAAGTCCTTGAATTTAAAATAAATGAATTTTGGCAAAGGTGCTAGGATACACAGTGAGGAAAGACTAGTTTCTTAATGAACAATGCTGGAAAACTGAATCTACATGAGGAACAATGGTTTGGACCCATATTTTCATACATACACAAAAGAATAAAACAAAACATAGTAAAGACTTAAATGAACTTAAAGCTGTCAACTACCAGAACACAACACAAAAAAAAGGAATTCCTTCACAACAAGCAATTCATTTTTGTGGTAAAGGTACTCACTACAAAGCAAAGAGATTTTATCAAACAAAAAAAAGGGGGGGTGCATAATCCCACAGACAAAAAATGGCAGAAAATATTTGCAAATCAGAAAATAAACCTGAAGTTAATATACAAATTTAAGATAAAAACTCATTTCACTAACAGGAAAAAAATTAAGAATAGGAAAGAATGTTGGCAGCACATACAGTCCCAGCTACATGGAGCCTCAAGTCTAGGAGTCACATGAGCCCAAGATTATAACACCAGTACAAATAAGACAAAAAGATCCATTTCAAAGAGGTGGGGGTTGATGGTGATGGATGAGCAAAAGACTTGACATTTTACATAACAAATTGCAAAAATATCAACTTTTATATGGGCAAAGTGTTCAACAGACAAAGAAACAACTATATATGAAAACACTCAGCATGACAAAGAAATGCAAATCAAACCTATAAAATAACAATATCTATCTATCTCTGTTTATTGAGACAGTGTTTCTCTGTGTAGCCTTGGTTGTTCTGGAACACACTCCATAGACCAGGCTGGCCTTGAACTCACAGAGATCCACCTGCCTCTGCCTCCCAAGTGCTGGGATGAGAGCTATGTATCACCACTGCCCAGCAATGTATCTCATCTCTTATAATGGCTATAATAAAAAAGAAGCAAATAGCAAGTGTTGGTAAGGAAGTGAACAAAAAAAAGAATCATGGTACAGTGAAATAACCATTATTAAAATTCTATGGCAGTTCCACAAAAAACTTGAAATCAATGCTATATGTGGTGGCACACACCTGAAATTCCAGCACCCCAGAAGTTGTAAAGAAGAAGGAACCACAAATTTGAGACCAACTTGGCTTATAGAGTGAATTTCAGGTCAGTTTCTACTATATAGTAAGACCCTGTCTTAAAAGCAAACCGCAACAAAAACAACAAACCAATATATCCTTCAAGAAAAAGCAGTGCAGACCTGCAGTCCCAGGCTGAGCTGGGAGAATCACAATTCAGAGCCTGCCTATCTACAGTGAGTTCAAGGACAGCAAGGACATCTTAGCGAAACTCTGCTATTAAAAAAAAAAAAAGTAGGCCCATAAACATGCCATGGTGGATAGAAGAAGTTCACAAGGACCCATCCTCCACAGAACTGTGAGTAGTTACTGTTTGCTGAGGAAAGGGGAGAGGAAATAGTGAATTAATGACATTGACAACAAAATAAAAATTTGTACTGCATGAAATGACACACTATGCACACCCCCATGGAGGGCCTCACCCTCCCTGGAGAAATGAGGGGATAACGGGGGGGGGCACGGGAGGAAGGGAGGGAATGGGAGAGGGACCTGGAACTGACTTGTGAAGCAACCTTGTTTCTTATCTAAATTTAAACTGGAAAATAAAATAAAAAAAAATAAACAGAAAACAATCAGAAATATTACAAAAAAAATTTGTACTGCAATAGAATCTACACCATTGGGAAGGTAGTAACAGAACTTGACTTTGTCATATAAAGTATTTACAGGTGTCTGCTATAGACAGCCCAATAGTTGAGAGACTACCTTAAATGTCCATTCCTGATAATGAACTTGACATCAACCTTACATTTCATCCTAGAACCTTCATTCAGTGACTGATGGAAGCAGAGGCAAACACCCACAGCTAAACACTGAACTGAACCCAAGGAATCCAGTGACAGAGAGAGAGGAGTGATGAGCAAATGGGCAAAGAATGGGCTGGCAAAACCAGCAGAGGCAGCTGATCTGAACAGGGGAGAGCTCTTGGACCCCAGACCAACAGCTCAGAGACCAGCATGGGACTGATCCAGACCCCCTGAGTGTGAGAGTCAGTGAGGAGGCCTGGGCAACCTATGGGGCCCTGGGCACTAGATCAGTATTTATCCTTGGCATACAAATGAACTTCATGTGTCCATAACACAAAGAGGGATACTCTCTCAGCCTAGACTCTTAGGGGAGTGCGTGGACTCTGCCCTGAGCAAAATGATAGACTCTGGATATCCCCTATGTAGAAGGAAGTGGGGATAAGGTGGGAGGCTGGAGGGCAGAGTAGGGAGGTGTGGGAGGAGGGGAGGGAGAGGGAACTGGGATTGACATGTGAAGCAAGCTATTTAAAATTAATTTTAAAAAAGAAAAAAAAAGAATATTAACTCTAAGTCAACTTTCTAATAGGAAATCTGTTCCTCATAGTACCAGTAGTTAGTTATGTTTAGGGGAAGATTCAAACTTATTAAGTAAAAGTATGATTTTCCAAAAAAATATTACCATCAGAGGAAATAAATACATTTAATTTTCCAACTTCATAATTTAGTTTTAATATTTCAAAAATGTAGCATTCTATCAATTAATAGAAGAAAACAAAACAGATAAGGACTTAAAATTAGGAAAGTCAAAAGACATGAAGAAAAATTCTGTTTCCATGAATCAAACTACTTATTTTCAAAACCGTTCTATACTTTTCATATACTATATGCAATAACTCTCTATATCTGAGAGTTATTCCAGATGGTACTGGCAGCCAGTGATGTCTGTTTTGCAAGCCCTGGTTATTGGAGGCATTGTAACACACTGAGTAAGGAAGCCACTTAAAACCACTAGATTGGCTTTTAAAAGCATATATTACAGGCTAAACATTTGATCCAATCAAGGACAATTGTACTTTTCAGCACTTTTTAAATTCATAATTATATCTTTAAGTAAAAAAAATAAATTTACTCCTTACAACACAGAACTAGGTCACAGTGTTGAATTTTATTGCAGAAAAGAATTTAAGAAATCCATTGCTCAAAATCTAGCCTACCTTATATCTCATTTGTGTTTGTTTTTCAAAGTCACATTTTGATTTTCAAAATGCTGGACATAACATTCAAATGAATGGCCTTTATTAATTCTAAAAACTTTAATAAAATTCTGGCCACAAGAGCATGTACCAAACATGACTTCATATTCACACAAGAGAAACTTTAAAACATCAAGGTGTCTTTGCTTTTGTCTGAGTTTCTTTGTCTTGATTTTCTAGACATGGTGCTTTGAACTTCTTGTTAAAAATGAGATAGCTGCCATCTTAGGTAGAATGTGTCCACACTCTCCACATGGCTCCCTATTTTCATTCTCAATATCCTTTGTTCATTTTAGTTTGTGATTATTACTGTTACATTCTAAAGACTAAAAATAACCATTACTTAGTCTTGTGAATATGAGGAATGTGAGCATGGATATACACAGAGTATATACACAAAGTAACTACAACAGAGGAGAACACAGGGAGTTTCTTACCTCACTAAATACCATTTTCTATAGTAAGTACATAAAAAGAATTATCATCAAAATACGTTAGTAAAATAGAAGGTATTCTTGAATGTATTTGTAGGAACAAATCAACAACATAAGAAATCCTGTTCTCTCTATCAGCATTTGTTTACATGATAAAAGTGTTTCAACAAAGCAGCATGGAATTTCAACAGAGTTTGAGATCTGCATTTACATGGCTGCAAAAAACTTTATTTCCTCTCTGTTTACTGGCCATTCGCAATAATTCTTTCAGAACAGTTTAATTCATTTACCCACTTATGAACTGGACTAGTTTGGAGTACTTAAACTTTTTAATTCTTTACAGATGCTAAGCATTAACCTCTCCTAGCTACATCTCTGGCAGTTTTCCTCCTGTTACAAGGAATCTTTTCATCCTGTAGATTGCTTCCTTTGCTGTGAGCTCTGGAATTTTGTCCAGCCCCACCTCTCAATTCTTGCTGTTACTTCATGAGCTTCCTTTTCCTTTTCAGAAAATCCCTACCCATTCTTACATCTGGAACTGTTTTCCTACACTGTCCCTAGCAGTCTGGAAGTTTGCTTTCTTATATCAAGGTCTTTGATCTACTGTGAGTTGATTTTTGTGTACAGAGAAAGGTACAGATCTAATTTCAATCTACTTGTGGGCACTTTGTTTTCCAGCACAATTTGCATAGAAGCTATCTTTTGTAAAATGTAAGTTTTCTTTACTGTTAGCATCTTTGACAAACTCAGATGCTATCAGTGGTTGTTTGGGAACCTCTCTTCTAGTCCACTGGTTCCCAGGTATGCTTTGCATAGCCCTGAACTGGTTTTACCACCATAACTCTACAGTGTAACTTTAAATCAAGTATTGTGATACTTCTAGCATTGCTCTTTTAGCTCAGAATT